GCTAGCCCTCTACCACTTGAGTTACAGCTTCACTTTTGGCTTTTCTTGGAGCTTATTTGGAGATAAGAGTCTCATGGACTTTCCTGCCGTGGCTGGCTTTGACTCGTAATCCTCAGATCTCAGCCTCCTGAATAGCTGGGATTACAGGCACACGCCAGTGGCACCTGGCTGCTGAAGCTCTTTATAACTGCCAAGCATCCCATAAGGACTCAGTCAGTGACAGCACTCATTCTGTCTCTGATGTGCTTTAACAATGTCATATTCTTCCTTTGCCTGCAGGGTTTGTGTGCATCTTCTCATGGGTAAAGTCACTTATCACAGCCTTGCTTTTCTGGGTCAAATGAAGTTTTCTGGGAGGTGGTAGTGGAGAGGTCAGTTTTCCTCATAGAAGTGTTTATACAGAAACAAAATCCTCCCTCTTCCAAATGTCTATCCATTATGTTTGTTTTTTAACAAAGGTAGATACATTCCAATTAATACTAATAGAGGAAAAAATCACTGGGCTTGTGTTTTAAAGTTCACTATCTTCTACAGCATTTGCTGACTGAAGCTTGAGTCATCTTAAATGTATCCATATTTATTATTTACTAATAGGATTAAATATTTGATAGAATTATTTTCTTCTAGCACTCCTTGAAAAATCCTTTGGTTCTTTTTTTTTGTTTGTTTGTTTGTTTTGTTTTGTTTTTGGGTCCAGTTGTGGGGCCTGAACTCTGGGCCTGGGTGCTACCCCTCAGCTCTTCAGCTCAAGGCTAGCGCTCTACCACTTGAGCCACAGCGCCACTTCTGGCTTTTTGTTTTTGCTTATGTGGTGCTGAGGAATCGAACCCAGGGCCTCAGACATGCAAGGCAAGCACTCTACCACTGAGCCACCTTCCCAGCCCTCCTTTGGTTCTTTTGTTGTACGTTCTGTAATGAGGGCTTGAACTCAGTGCTTTGGCTCTCAGCTTGTTTGCTCTGGCCATGCCTCTAGTGCAGCATTTTTTCTGATTAACTGGAAATGATGTCTCATAGACCATTCTGCTTATGCTGGCTTTGAACCTCAGTACCCTAGGTCTTAGCATCCTGGGTTTAAGTGTGACTCACTGGAGCCCATGATATTCTTGCCAGTTTACTTTTTCAAACAAATTTACATGTATAAAAATTATGTGTTTTACAGAATCTAATGAACACTTTTCTGGCATTTAAAACAAAACTCTATAATGCTATGACAGGTAACTATAGAAAAATAAGAGTCTCCCATGTCAGGATTAAAGCATATCTCCTTTTATGTGTTCTTTTTTTTTTGGCTAGTCCTGGGACTTGAACTCATGCCTGGACTCTGTCCTTAAACTTCTTTAGTTCAAAGCTAGTGCTCTATCACTTGAGCCACAGCTCTACTTCTGGTTTTTTTTTTTTAAAAGTGATTTTTGTGGAGATAATCTCACAAAATCCTGCCTGGGCTGGCTTCAGACCTTAGATCTCAGACTCCTGAGGAGCTAGGATTATAGGCATGAACCACTGGGACCCAGCTTATGTTTTCTTTTAGTCCTGCATTTTAGTGTAATAAGTGTCTTAACACTATCATGGATAACCCCTGTTAAAATATTATAATAGTTTTATCAGAAATGTGAATCTGATCTCTTATATTCTGTAATTATATGTATAGTTAACACTATTGATTTTTGTACCTTTAGTCCCATTCCCTCCCTCCCTCCATCCCTCTCCCCCGCCCCTCCCCCCCCCCCCCCCCCAGCCTCTGTCAGTCGTGGGGCTTGAACTCAGGGCCTGGCTGTCTCTGAGCTCTTTTGCTGAAGCTAGCACTCTGCTACTTTGATCCACAGCTGTGTTTTGAGTGGTTAATTGGAGAGTCTTATGGGGACTTTCCTGCTTCGTCTGGCTTCAAACTGTAATCCTGAGATCTCAGCCTTCTGAGTAGCTAGGATTATAGGCGTGAGCCACCAGCACCTGGCTTAGTTCATTTTGCCTTAACGTTTATTATGTTGGTTAAAGGATCTACGCATGGTTAAATAGCATGTGGTAACAGAAGTTGTTCTTATTTGGTGTGTGAAGTACTTCTGAAGTACCTATCCTAGAGATAACCAATTCTTAACATTAGAGTAGTTTCCTTATCTTTATGGAAACAGGCCAGATTGGTATTTTTCATAGTTCTTAGAGTAAAAACTGGGCAACAGTGACAGGCTGATCAAGTGAGGCTTTGGGTCAAAGTCAAGTCCACTTTTATCTATTTTGTACCTTTGAAAATATATTAATGCTAAAAATTTTGTCCGGTGTGTGGGTACCAGGTCTGTTAATTTCAGCTCTTAGAAAGATCAAGAGTTTGAGGCCAGTCTAGGATACATAGTGAGACCATATCTAAATAAATAAATAAGCAAATTTCAAAAGTTGAAACATTTCAATGAGAATATAATGAATTATCATTTGGGAGCTTAGTGGTAGAATGTATGTGTATATAGCATGCATAAGGGCCTATGTTTAATCCTCACCCATATTCTTCCCTCCAAAGTCTCTCCCAATTCAAAATTCTGTAATTCAACTTTATTTTATCGTACTTTCACAATTGCTTCTATGTAGTATCTTCCAAATTTTAAAGAAATGAGAGGAAAAGTGGGATAAAAAAATTGCATTGACAATTATTCAGAGTCTAAAAAAAATACAAGGAAGAAAGCACAACTAGCAGCAAGCACTGCATTTGCAACGTAATAGGTGCTTAGGAAATGGTTATTAAAGGACTGGGCGGAAATGGGCAAAAATGTACTTGCTTCCAAATGGGTAGCATGGTCTGGTGATAGAGCATTTTATTTTCTTTAGCTTTTCTGGTTTTTCCCTTTGATAGGGAAAAAATAGCAACCCAAATTGAAGTTTCTCACAACTGTAAACTCACGCTCATTATCTTCCTTCTACTTGGTGCTCCTTGACTTCTCATAAGGTTACATCCCATAAATGTATTATGAGTTGCAAATATCCTGAGTGAAAACACATTTAACACACTAAGCCTATTATACCCTGTTTTCAGCTACTGTTCTGAACTCTAACTTTGTTTTTAACACCACCTTGCATCATCTAAATGAAAACTTAATCTTTCTTAAACAACCATTTATTTCCTATATAAGTGTACAATTTTCTTTTTGTTTGCTCACTTAGAGTAATATGTTGTCTTTACATATCAATTCTCAACTTCTTTTTTTTTTTTTTTTTGGGTCCAGTCGTGGGGCCTGAACTCTGGGCCTGGGCGCTGTCCCTCAGCTCTTCAGCTCAAGGCTAGCGCTCTATCACTTGAGCCACAGCACCACTTCTGGCTTTTTTCTTTTTGCTTATGTGGTGCTGAGGAATCGAACCCAGGGCCTCAGGCATGCAAGGCAAGCGCTCTACCACTGAGCAACCTTCCCAGCCCAATCAACTTCTTTTGGTTCCCCAAACATTCCAACCTTTCTTCCAAGCTAGTTAGTTCACAGTCCTTTGAACATTAATAGAACTCCACAGTCCTTTGAACATTAATAGAACTCTTCAATTTCTCTGTTTTTGGCCTTTTTTATTTAAGAATCCAAGGGAATACCTTGCCTTCTGCCTAATCAATCATGGCTGAAATCTTGGGCTTCCTATTTGAAGCCTCTTAGAGCATCAATATTGTCATATTAATGCTGCTTTGCTAATTATACTTCTTACTCAGATATATGACTTTGACATAAATCCAAGTCATAAAATTCATGTAAAACTTTTTTTGGAAAGATGGGACAAATCTCTATACTCATAAAAGCTCTCAAAAATCTTTTTGCTCTTAATTCCTCATAGTCTCAAATGTCTCATTGCCTGTATGCCATGTAATTTAGTGTTAAAACTCAGAGTTAATAATAAGGATCTTACAAGGATCCTAATGTCAGCTAACCCTGTTATCTCCTGGAGAGTAAGAATGTTGATTTATACTTAACTTGATATTCTCTACTGTTAGCCTCTGAGTATTTGTCAAACACTTGCTCATTAAAAGGAAAACATTTAAAATCAAATGTTACATCACTTGCTGCAGGTAGATAGCAATCTAGTCTTCTAATTTAGTTTTTCTAACTTTTCACAGCAAATTCCAGAATATCCTATATTTTCCATTTAAAAATAAATATCGCTAACACCATTGGGCAAGTAAGACATATGGCAATATAGAATGCTTTGGTAGCACTATGGCTGTGACTTAAATTACTGTAGATCAAACTGCCAGAAGCTGAGAAGATAACTGAATTTTCCTCTTCCTTTATCTCTAGTGAGGATAGAAGATAGCTGTATCATGCCTATCGATGAAAATATTTAACAATAAAAAACTGAAAGCACTGCTTTATAACTTAAATAATATAGTCTTACTACCAAATGTTTTAGTCATAGGATCTCTTGGAAGCTTGAATGGAAGCAAACTTTAGGGTTTTAATTATGGATGAAGCCACACAATTCTGGAAGCAAAGTATAGCAGGCAGCCAAAAATGTTACACATATGATTTTACTCCAAATGGGTACATTGGCCAAATGGTGAGGCCCTGCACAATCATACATTTTGACCACCTCCTCCCTAACCATCCAAAGGAATCTTGAGAAATCTGTTATCATAGATAGGAGTTCTGTATGTTGATTATGGCTTCAGTAGGGCAAAATCAAATTGTTCTTGTTTCTCATGGTACCCTCAATAGTTCTGGATTGAATCTGAACACATTACAGCTTATGGTTGTTCAAGATCTTCCTTCAAATAAAAGATGGGAAATGGAAAGATATACCTTCTATTTCTTTGTGCACAAAGATGACCTTACTATTCTTCCTGTAGTCATCTGTTTTCTGGCTGATTGAAAAAAAAAATTAATAAAAATTCACATGTCATTTACTCCACTATCAGGGGTCCAAAAAAGATGCTGCTTCATTAATTCTATCTATTGCTGAGAACAAAGATATTAAGTCAAACTAATAAAATTAAGACGGTTTTGGAAAGATGGAAAAAAACCTCTATATTCATCATAGAAACTTACCTTTAAAAGACTAAGGTTCCTTTTAAAAGCAGTCTCAGCTGCTGGCAACTGAGATACCTTTTCTGTGTTTTTGTTTCCAGATTTATTCTTCATTTGTTGAAGTAGTATTAGTCTTTGTGATACTCTGAAAAAAGTGAAGATTATATAAACTGAAAAGAATTTAAGAAGTAAATGATCTTATTGCCTGACCAAAGCACAAAATAAGTTTTAATTGCATTAAACTTCAACTATAACCTATTTTCTTTGAAAGTTAATGAGTAGTTAAACTAACACGACAATGAAAACTATGGTGATCCTCTAAGTTTCAAGTCAATTTGGATAAAAATATTTTCATTAGCATGAATCTATTCTTTATATATACCATAAATACATGCTTCTCTTCTTTAGCCTCTGTGGTCTTTTGAAATTATTTTAGAGTGTTGAAGATATGTTTTAATTTTTGGTGAAAATGCAAACTGTAATACATATCTCCTTGTACACATAGTTATATATACCTCCCCACACACATACATTGATATAACTTGCTATATGAAACCTTCTGCTTAACACTTCAGTACCCCTGAATCTCATGTTACACATTTAGAATTGTGCTAAACTTCCATATGTTTGAAGAAGCAATAAAAATATTTTTTTCCTCTTTTTCCAAGAGAAAGATGATGGTTTGATATATGAGTGAGAGGCAGTGTGTATATATGCATGCTCACAACAAGGTAAAACAGTAACTAAAGAAAGATGGGAAAAGTTAAAAGTAAATTCTCAAACTATTTCATTATATATAATATACTTTAAAAGTTCTATGCTGGTCAGATGCTCGTTTTACAAGTTTTTAAGGGGCAGGGAACCTTTAATCTGCCAAGGGCCATTTGGATATTTATAACGTCATTTGTGGGCCATACAAAGTTGTCAATATAGACAGATGGCACAGGCAACTGACAAGAAGCATATGAGAAGTATATATGTCTGTCCTGTCATGTACCAAATGATTTTGAAGGCCTTCTAGGCTGGGGCCGGATGTTCCCACCCCTATAAGAAAATATGTCAGATGACTGAAAATATATAAATGGTATCCACACAAGTGGAATCCTTAAATAGTTGTAAAGGTTTTCAGAAAACATTGTTTTATCCTAGGCTTGTCTTGAAAGTGGAACTAAAAACTGAGCTCTTTGAGCAGTTTTTTTTTTTTTTTGTAAAGAAGTATCTTAGAGGCTTCAGGAAAGTCTCAGCTCTCAGAGGAAGAAGAAAATTGATTGAGGCCTGGCATCAGGGATTAAACCAAGTGTTGGATCTGTATCGATTACACAACCATGAATATGAAGTCAGTCGTCCAGAAAGGGAGAGATGAAAGGTGAGATTATTTAGAAATTAGAAACAAAGAGATACTGAACAATAGTGCCCTTTTAGTTGTTGTTAAGAGATAATGAAATTTCCTGTATCAACATCTCTTTAAGTGTGCGAATAAAGTTTTACATAAAATTTTACATAAGTTTTTATGTAAGAAGGTAATACACATTTATGTACATAATAAAGTACTAATAAAGGTGTACTAATAGAGCCAGTACAACTCTGTATTTAGGTAATTCTTTTTCAAAACTTACATTTCTTCATGTCTTTTAGAAAGGCGAAATTCTTGAGCAAACAAGGAAGTCATCTTTGATCAAAAGATAAAAAGAACATATTTAAACACATTTCTATGTAGGATACATAACTTTGCATATGCCAGACTCATCCAAGAACACCAAGGTCAGGTAAATACATTTCACATTTTCTTCTCTTTAAGAAAACAACAACAAAATACCCCTCTAACCTTTATCAGAATGAAAAACAGGCAGTTGGTACCAGGAGTAGTGAACATTTTATTGTATCAACAGAAGAAAATCCACTCACAGAAACACCGTTCCTTGCGTGCACATGCACGCGCGCTTACACACACACACATACACACACACACACAAAGGCAAATGAGTATGAGAACCAATTGGAAACTTCGTGGTCTTTTCTTTATTGGAAGACTGCCCAGTCCTACCATGCCTCTTCCAAACAAGTATTTTTCATGTGTAACTGTGAGGAAAAGCACAATTCTCACTCTACCCTGGCTGTGTTTAGATAAACCTCTTTTGGTGACACACCTTACATCAAAAGCAAGCCCACCTTGGCTAACAAGCCTGGAGCAGTACAGACAGGAGTCTGCCCTGAAGGTAGCCAGGTCTGAGGGCACACCATCTGGAGGGGCAGAGACCAAAGAGGCTTAATCCAAGAACAAGAGAGACAGGAATGGAATTTCCTTTCTCATCTCAACTTTCTGAAATTACAGATTGTGTTGCCACCGGCTCGTTCTGATTGTCCAGTGCCCAGCGCGGATGGAAAGCCTGCGCTGTGCTTGGAGCCCGGGACTGTGGGCCGTGGCCTGGGGGAATGGGTCCTCCATGGGGTTTGCCCGGGGCCTGCCTTCAGCACCGAGGACAGCGCCGCGGCCCGGCCCGCCCCTCCAGGCTCTCCTTAGATACTTGGCATCTCAGATCCCCGCAGAGCAGGCCAGCCCTCGTCATTTCCTTTTCCTTTTTCCAGTTTCCTTTTGCCACGGGGGTCCCGGGAAGGCAGTCTGGAAGGAAGCCCAGAAAGTCAGGCCGGGGCTCACTTTTCCGTGACGCCAGCCCTGCGCGCTCCACACGGAGCCCTAAGGAAATCCTGCCTTCGGAACCAAGGATTCGCACCGGCGTCAGCACGGCGACCACCCCAGCACTCCCTTTTCCCTACGAACAGAAACCACACACTTCGGAACTTTTCTCATCACCCCGATCTTCCCCTTAACCACCTCCTGCTCACCGGCTCCGCAGACTCCCGCGCAATGCCTGGGACTTGGCGCGCCGAGTGCACCTCCAAGGACTACCGGGAAAGGCGCTGACGCGCACTGCGCCTGCGCAGGGTGGAGGCTTCCGCGCTGGGAGGGGGCGTGGTCATGGCCCTCCCTTTGCGCACGCGCAAAATGGTGATGACGTCGGCACCTCTATAAAAGGCGAGCGTCTGGCTCGCGGCGGTTGTTAGGCGTCGGAACTCTGAGGAGGATCCTGCGTTGTGTGGTGGTAGGCCGGGCGCGGGAGGGTTCCCCGAAATGTTGCATTTGAACCTCGGGAAGAACGTAGCTCTCCTCCAGTGAGCGTTAGAGTGCAGCCGGCTTTCAGGAAGCTAGAATGTTCCAGGTGTTTGCAGAACCGGTCCGTTCAGCGTCTGGCAGAGCCCCCCGGTGCTTCGTGGGCTCTGGGTGGCAACACGGAGGGGGAAGGCCTGGGTGTCCGTGTCGGCGACTGGATTAGGCGCAGTATTTACTGCGTAAATCCCCACGCTTCCCCAGTGGCTGAGGGTACCATCAGCCCCATTTACCCAACAAGGAAACACACATGGCTGTCAGTCACCCTCGGGTATAGAACTTCTTTTTAACAAATGCGTTATCAAGTGGGTGTACAGTTCCTTACCTGGGGTTATGGATCCAGTGCATCTTGATCGGTGCCACCCCTTCCACTGCCCTCTCTGTGTTCCCCCTTCCCATCCCTACCCTCAATTACATAGTTCAGTCTTTCTCTTCCCTCTGCTTGTAGGTTCCTCCCAATTGCCCCCTTAAGCATTGGCCACTAAGATGCATTATATTCTCTCTCCTTAGGGTACAGAAGAAGGAAGAAAAAAAAAAAAATCAAGAGACAAAACTTGCCTGGTGCCCGTGCCTCACGCCTGTAATCCTAGCTACTCAGGAGGCTGAGATCAGAAATTGACGGTTCAAAGCCAGCCCAGGGCAGGAAACTCCACGAGACTCACCTAATTAACTATCTACCAGAAAACTCGAAGTGGAGCTGTGGTTCAAAGTGGTAGAGCTCTATCTTTGAGTGGAAAAAGCTCAGGGACAGAGCCCAGGCCCTGAGTTAAAGCCCCTAGACGACAAAGCAAACAACAACAACAACAAAGAGAGGCAAAACTCATCGGGGATATTTAGCTGGCAGAGGGGACAGAACTAGAATTCCCACCCAGGTGTTTTAGTTCCCAGCATATCTACATAAGCCTTATTGTCCATTTCAGAACTATTGATTGATTTTAAGACTTCCTTTGCTTGGAAAGCTCCTTCCTCCCCTCCCCTCCCCGCTTAGGGCAGGTAAAGCTCCTCACATCTTTCAATGCTTCACAGCATTCTTCAGTGCCCCAGTGTAAGGGCTCCACGTCCTGCCTACTTTTCCTCCTGTTACATTTTTTTCATAAGACAGAGACATTACTTTATTATTTAAACACTGGCTTACCATTGAAATTCAAACTGGTTTTCCATTGTATCCTCAACAACTACAACTGGCTGGACCTGTAGATACTCAATGCTTGTGAATGAATAAATGAAATCTTGTGTCCTTTTATCACCAAAATTTTGGAGAGCTGTCTTTAATTGATAAGATCTGTCCAGTTGATAGACTATGCCATACCTTTACCTTAGTAAAGACAAACAACAACATAAACCCGACCTTGGGATAGTCCTATGTACTGGGGTGAAATAGAGCTCTTGTCTAGTTACAAGGCATTCATGTTTTATTTTTGTATGAGTTTACAAATAAAGATTTTTGTTAAGGTAGTAATGGGTTTCATATAGAATTTAGTGATTGCACATGAAAGTGTGTATGTTGCTGAAGACAAACATCATTTGCCTCCTTGCTATGTGTACACACACTCTTTCAGCATTGAGCCCAACTTTTTGGGGTCATTGTCTGTCATAGAAGTGAATCAAGGAATAGCTTGCAACTTTTAGGAAAAGAGTAACCAGGAATATAGGTACTTAAAGGTTATCTGAAGAGAGTGATAATTTAGAGCATCCCATAAAAAGTGCTCTGCTTAAAGAGAGACTATGACAGCTTGCTTTCTCAGGACTTATTTCACAGATGATTTGTTCTGTGAGACACCTGGCTCATGAGGAAGAATCTTTTTTTTTTTTTTCCGTGAGGAAGAATCTGAAGCAATTGCATTGTATTAGTATACAGCTCCATTTTACTAGGTAAGCCTGAGTACTTTCTGAAGTGAGACATTGGTTGTGTAGAATGCAAAGTATTCTGACCATCCAACACCCGGCTCTTTGTGTGTGTGTGTGTGTGTGTGTGTGTGTGTGTGGTGAAGTTAATGAGTCCTGATTCCTGGTCTTGATCTTGTACTAGATTACTGTAATTTACCCCCTTATTCATGAACGCGCGCGCCAGTGCCAGTCCTGCAGCTTGAACTCAGGCTCTGGGTGCTGTCCCTGAGCCTCTGAGGCTCAAGGCTAGTGCTCTACCACTTGAGCCACAGTGCCACTTCTGGCTCTTTCTAAGTGGTTTATTGGAGATAAAACAGTCTCATGGACTTTCCTTCCTGGGCTGGCTACAAAACTGTGGCAGATCTCAGTCTTCTGAGTCGCTAGGATTACAGGCGTGAGTCATTAGTACCTGGCCAAAAAATTTCTTTACTAAACATTTTTAGGTGTGTTTGTAAGAATTTAGAATCTGGCTGAGCACCTCAGGTATACCCAAAAGTGATAGAGGGTATTGTCTGATTTGATGGAGTGACTAGTATGTATTTAGTGTTCCTTCTGTACCAGGTAATTGGCATCATTTCCTCACCTAATAGTCATAACAGCACTATGAACCAGGGTATTGAACTCTACTTCTAGTTGATAAAATTGGGGGTTACTGATTATATTGCTAGCAAATAAATGCATTTATTTTTCCCCAATAAACAAAACAATTTTTACTTTTCTAATAGAAAAGTCTAAAAAACAGGAAATTTCTGGCTATAATTAAGGAGTACAGGATATTTGAAACTTCTGTTGTTCTTTTCATGCTAATGAGATAGCTGTTGCAGTTGCTTTTTGGTGGTTCTCAGTTAATGTCCCATTGGTGCATTGCCTTTGGGGCTATAGGCAGGCAAGCTCATCTGTGGCCAGGAAGCTCAAAGACAGCACTCATTTAAGTAAGTCTAAATTCTTTTGAGAGAATGCCTAGAGAGCATTTTGGAAGACTGAGGTGGACTTTGGGAAATGAGTAGAAAGTGGACATGTGTTTTTGTGACTGGATGTGTCACATAGCAGGGAAATATAGTGGGAGTGTGCCAAGTATATCTGGGGTGAGGAATAGGGTAAAAGAAACAGAAGAGTAGTTCCATTAACTTTCCTAATTTTGAATTTTTTTCTTTTTTTATTGTGAAAATACAGAGGGGTTACAATTACATGGGCAAGATAATGAGCACATTTCTTATCAATCATTGTAGCCTCCTCCTTTGTTTCCCCTTCCCATCCCTTCCCATCCTCCTCTCTTCCCACCCTTTCCAATCTTCCTCCCCCCCCACCAAAGTTGTAAAGTTTGTTTTTCCACATAACGACTTGCACATCTCATTGTTTCAATGGATCCACCTGTATCCCTATTTAAATGATTTGTTTTTTCCCTTCCCCTCCACAAATTATACCAACCTCAAATACAGGGAAAGCACCAGAGAATTTAAAAATGGTAGGTTGGCAGTAATAAACAGGTGTACTGGAGGAGGTAAGATAGGCAAGTGGAGAATAGAAATAAGGATGGGAAAGGAAGGGTTGTTCATGAAAATGGGAGGACAAGGTTTGAGGAATAAAATGTAATTTAAAAGAATCATTGGTTACATTAAAGATTACAAGTTGCTAAAAGTACATTCTGTTACACTATGAGCAGAATTCATCTTTTTAGATTCCCTTTGTGTTTCCTCTGGGTAGTCAAGTACTTAGGAAATAAAGAACCTATAGCTGAAATGGTTTTGATTTTTCTTTATTCCAGGCATTTGGTAAAATGGCTTCATTAACTGTATATCTGTTTTTCTTCACTTTGAAATAAATCATTAGATTTGTACTTCATTTCATATTGGTATTGTCCATTTTACTATGAGGAAACATTCTACACTCAAAATGTATCTGAAATGCTTTAAATTAGCCCTTGATAGATTTTGACCAAAGAGAATTTATGACTAGGTATCTTAGGAGCTCCTGTTACTTAGTGAACTAGGTGCCAATCTAGGTCCAATCAGATAAAATGCTGCAATAGAGAAATCATTATCACAGCTGGTTACCTGTGTTGTAGACATTTTTGATTGAGATAACAAAATCTTGCAGACAAAATGATGCTCAGTCTTAGAGATTTTCAAGGAGAATTTACATATGTTTTTTAACTTTTTGGTTCTAAAATTTAATAAAGTATTAAGATTTTTGCACTGAAATTGCATTAGTAATTCTTAGGAGATCATTTGTATGTTGTTTGCATGTATGTATAATGTTCATCTTCCAAATACCAGTAATTTAAAGTTGAAGCAATCTTTTGTTTTAAATTCTCTAGTTGCATGCATATATCTATATCTATATATCTTTCTATCTATCTATCCATCTATCTATCTATCTATGTCTTGATTTCCCACTGGTTCTCCATATATTCACTAGTCTGACTGCTTATTTCAGGCTTTCTTTGATGTAGGCATTTTGTCATTCATGATCTTCCTACCTCTTTTTTCTCCTCCAGATTTTCCCCTTTTAGTCTTTTAATCTTGTAGTGACTTTTAAAAATTATTCCACTATTGAATAAGCACAGTGGCACCTACCTATAATCCCAGTATTTTTTTTAAAAATTGCTTTTTAGCAATGACTTTCTGAAATTGTAACCTAAGTATTGTATTACTGGTTTATTCTTATAAACATTTCTAGTTAAGTTTAATTGCTTCTTTTAATGAAGTGCATTAATAAGTTCAATTAGTTAATTATACACTTGGGACTTAGGTAATTTTTATATTCATATTTTTCAGATATAAAATTGATTCCTGTCTTTGTATTTATCCCTGCTTTACTTGGACTCAATAAAACCCAACCTGAATTCTATAGAATTAGAGTATAAATTAATTTTATAAGT